TCTGTATATGCTTGAATTTATATCTATATAATGTGTATAAACGAAATACACCAAAAAAACCGTGAATTTTCCCCTTAAAAGACTAAACTCCAACCCCTTAACTGGCCTGGCTTACAGAGAAGTTATTGAAGGACGCCTCGGGCAGCTGCCTGCATACAGCCGCTCAGAAGGAGTTCCAGGAACTGAGGGTTGTTATTACTGTCAGTTTCATCTTCATATTCCATTACAATTATTCCTAGTATTACTAGTAGTCTTTACCAGCATTGCCAGCATTCTGATTTTTATTGCCAATATTACCACAATGATTCGGGTTTAGGTTTGAGGATTTCAGGGTTTGTGCAAAGTTTTCCGGGCTTCGGATGAAGTGAAGGACGGGTTTATTGGTGTAGTGCATCATTCAAGGACAAAGGCTTCAGGTGCGTGAGGGGCCGCAGATTAGTGTATGCTTTGGGGCTGATTCGTGTACCGTAAACCCTCAACCATAAATCTAACCTTGAGCGCAAGTTCTTCCGGTGCCTTGAGGTTGGAGGTTCAGCATTCAGGGACACATTGACGATTGTTCTGGCCATTAAAGTATATTTCAGAACCTGAAATTCAGCCAACTTAGGACCATTTTGTAAAGAACATCTACTATTGGGCCAAGGTCTCGCGAGGTCGTGATAATGTAAACAATTGGGAAGCCTAGCTGTACGGCAATACGACCGCATATTCTCAGCCGCGAGCTCCGGATGTCAAGCGTGCTAACAGTTCAGGGCGAACATGTTGAAAGACTCTGAAGTACGAGTATCCTCTAATCACCAATCAAAGAGATGAAAGGTTGTTTCAGCGCGGAGGGTCGTAACGCCAAGAAAATGCAGAAATCCTTCCTTAGAGAGGTCGGCATTCGGGGCGGCCAGAAAGTTTCGAGCTTCTGTGCCTAAACCCTTACCTGCCACTGCCATCGGCCTGGTATGGAAGGCTTAGCAATCAGGAGTTTGGGTGAGGGGTGTTTTGATGGTCCAAGTACCCAATAATTATACACGTCCCCACACCCTATACTGCATGACAGTTGCCATGATCAAAATCCCAAATTACTCTATAACTGGCTGCTCGGACGGTGTCCGTGTTAGACGGCTGGGAATACCTTGGTGCTCCTCTTTAGCTACATAGATCAGCGAACGGCTGCCATACACATCCCTAGAAGCCCAGTTACACATGCCAGTCCCGGGATGTACGCACGATAGGTTAATAAAACGCCCAGATACCTGGGACAAAAAAGAGCTCTGTTTCAGATCCTAGGCTTATTTGAAACCTGGGAGCCAGCAAAGGTTTAAACTGGTTCAGGGAGAGTCCAGGTCTTTTTTCCCTGGGTTTAGGTTCTATGAAAACTTAATATACGTACAACAACCTAGTATATCGGCATTTTCGCCTGCTGAAGGTTGCAAGGTTTGATCTACTTCAGGATGAGAGCAGGGTTCTCTATGTAGGCAGGAAATCTTCCACAAAAATGCGTTTGTCTGCTTTTTAGGGTGGTTAGAAATTCGGAGAAACCAAAATTGAGAATGCTAAGCCGTACGCCCTTTTGGGATTGGGGTGAGTAATTCTTCTGGTTCTTTGGCTTGTGAGCCTGGGCAATCTAGACCTCATCCTACTGACCAAGGAATTGGATCGGACCATTGGCTGCCAAATCAGGGCCACAGAGCCCTAAACTACTAATCAGAGACCTTAACCCTAAACCCTGAACCCTAAACCCGTAACCCTAAACCCCAAAACCTAAACCCTGAACCCCAAACCCTTAACCCTCAACCCCAAACCCTAAACCCCAAATCTAAAACTGCGTGGACACCAACTCCCAAAGCCCTGCGTTTAGATCGTAGGACTAGCAGCTTTAAGACTGGACTGTCATGGGTTGCTCGGCGACCCACCCCATGCTATCCCCAAACTCCCCCAAGAATCAAGCCGATCTCGGGCTGGATTAGACTCACTTTAGGCAGCAAAAATGTGCGGGAAGCACTGCGGGAAGCACAGTGTAGTTAGCGATCTCATGAAGATGATGCCACAGTACATCCCATCTACATCACTAAATCCTGAAAGCCCACCTTCAAGTCCCATAATCCAAAAGGCGCCTTTCCATGGCCAGCTGGGCTATAGGTGACGGCATGGCACCCCGGGACTTTGCAAGGTCTAATTACCCTGAAAGGTTCAAGTATCCAACCATGGGGTTCTCTCTGGAGCTTGGTAGGAATGATCTTCTGGGAAAAACTACTCGTGTTTGGTACTGTCATCGACTTGCCTGTCTCTACGACTGTTGTCGTTGGCACCACCTCTAGTTTCAACGGTTATTTCTCGTAAGTCTGCGCTGACAGAGGGGCTTCCAGGAATTAAGGGCTGTGGCTACGGCACAAAGCTTTGAGGGTATATATGGGGTGCGTGTAATTTTGGAAACCCTGAAAATAACACAAAAAGGCAGATTTTCACTTACTTTTGGAATTTAGGTATAAACTTTAGGACTCAACTTAGGTCTTACCTACACATTTGGAACCCCCTACAGTTTGAGTGGTCATGGCTTAGACTCATGACGGCTCCATGATGTGTGAACCACTTGGTTTCACCCAATGTGCTTGGGCCTGCAGCCGGCAAGAACAAACGTAAGAGCCATCTTCTCAGCTTCAAAGCAGGGCTATATTAGGGTCTAGGGCTTAGGGGATTATAGCGGGTTTGGGGGCATTCCCCCCATAACCGCAAATCAAAGGGATAAGAAACTGGAACATGAAATGGAACGTTGAGTTTCAAAGGGATGTTGTTTAGGGTTTCAGCTTACCTCTGGTCTGCTAGGGGATGAAGGAATGGAATGCAGAATGATCCGTAGTATTGAGGATTATATAGGGACTGCATGGGACTACTATAAAGATCCAGTCCGTTATTCCTTGCTGACCATGGGTATGTAAGGAGTAAAACAATTCCAGGCTTGGGGTGCCCCGAGACCCTGGGAATTCTTGATGTGATGCTGGAGGAATTCTTGGGAATGTATACGCATGGCCTCCTCCCAACACATCCCCTTCATGTCTGAGGAACCCTTTATAAACCCCAAGCCTTTCACCCGACCCTGAACCCGAAAGCATACATGTGTGCATATGGAAATTAAACACATGCATGTATCTTATCCGCCAAACCGCAAACATGTGATCTAATGCACTTATCCGTATGTAGGTAGGTAAGTATGTACGTACGTACGTACGTACGTACGTACGTACGTAGGTAGGTAGGTAGGTAGGTAGGTAGGTATGTAGGGGCTCGAACACCGCAACAGCGCGGATTGCGAAGGCTCCCAGAACTCCTTAGTATAGCCCTTGGGGAAATGGAGTTCGCCAAGTTCCGGAAAATGGAGTGGCAAGACCACCCTATTGACGTTGAGGCGCACACTAACCTGATTGACAACATCCAGGCCACGATCCAACATGCTGTTATTCCTGACGATGTGCTAAAGCAACACATCCGCGAAATAATGTCGATGCTGATTGTCCATGGTGCTATTTCACTTCGGGCTCTTCGGAAGTTCTTGCACCTTCGTTTGAAGGTCAGCTTGATGGGGAGACGTTCCGATATCCGTAGGTTGGCGATGATCGTTGCTGATGAGCTTTCTTCTGACAACTAGCAAGCTTCCGCGTTTGCACCTGTTTGGGAGGCTTTGCCCGCGCAGACAAGCCTCGGAACAACGCTGGCACCGGACTGCATTGGGGCACCGGGCTATGGATATAGGGGCCGATGGTTGTTCTCTTTTCTAAGTGATATTGGGGATGCCTTCGGCCATGCTGACGAGGAGCTTCACTCAAGTGGGTGGCATGATGGCCCATTTGGGAAGACATGCTACGTCCAGTCAGGAAACGGCTGTTGGGAGCTATTCTGCCTTGAGCACGGTATGCAGCCCGATGGGCAGCTGCCTCCTTTTCATGCAACTGATTGCATCGATGACGCCTTGATTACCTCTCCCAAGACATCCAGTGAAATTCAACCGGTGCCACGTAGTGTGATGGCCGATCTTAGGGCCATGGTCGTGGATGATGTGCGTACAGGGACCAGGCGGCAGCCTTTCCATAAAGAGGCAGGGATAGAGAGTGCCGAGAACAGTTTCGCTCGTGGATGCTATGCGATGCGGCCGAAGTTCGTTGACCCAGCCCCGTCTGCCGACAACTGCGCAAGGCTTCAACCTGGACAAGTGCCTTCGGGCAGGGCTGCTCGTGGATCTCGTGGTGGAGATGCTTGCAAAGGAGGCTCAGTATCCGGCCTGGGTTGTCCTCTGCTGGAGCGCTTGCTGTTTGACTGTATTGCCCATCCTACATGCATCAACCCATGTCGCCTTTTCACTTTGATTAACTGCATCCTGGTTGAGGGTAAGCTTCGCTTGATGTAGTTTTTGGTTTTGCGGCGGGATGTAACACTGTGACATACGGCTTCTCCAGCTCGCTGGCCGGTTTATGGTTGCGTGTCCTCCCTGCCGGCTCCAGGTGTGCACTGCGCAGTCCAACAACACGCTGCGAGTGCACACTGCCCCTAGGAGCGAACCCGATCTTAATTAAGTGCAATGCGAGGGGGCGCATCCTACGGATTCAAAGCCCGCAAAGAGAAAGAGAAAGATGTATGTATGTATGTATGTATGCGCATGTGCATGCACGTATTCAGAACTGATCTACAAATACTAAGTACATGTACAAGTAGTGTACAGTGTATGCACATGTGCAGATGCATCCATGTAAATATTACGTGTGCATGCTTTCATGTCTATATGCACATATGCACAGAATCCGTACGTACGATGCGTGCCTGTCTGCCTAGTCCCTCAATCCTAAGCCCTAAACCCTAAAACTAAATCCTAAGCCCAAAACGCAAAGCCCTAAATCCTAAACCGTAAGCCCTCAGCCCTAAGCCCTAAATCCCAAGCCCTAAACCCTAAGCCCTATATCTTTAACTTTTGGCCTCTCCTCCGCGCCACGTGGCTTGCGAGTCGGTAGCTGCGGCCTCTCTCACAGGTCTGCGATGGTCACCTCCTGGGTAGGGATTATGGGTTCTGGATTTAGGGTTTTAGGGCCTGGGGTTCAGGATTTAGGCCTTAGGATTACTGGCTTAGGATTGAGGGTTTAAGATTTAGGATTTAGGGCTTAAGGTAAAGATTCACGGTTTAGGATTTAGGGCTTAGGGTTTAGGATTCATGGTCTAGGATTTAGGGTTAGGATTTAGGGTTCGGTTGTAGAGTTTGGGGCTTCGAATTACAGGGCCTTGGACTTGAGACTGAAAAGCTGAGGACTGGGGGTTAGGGTCCAGGATGTGTGATTACATTCAGTTTAAAGGCTTTGTACTACCCAAACCCAGTTTTTTGGCCTGTTTTTAATGGTTTTGGGCTATTATTTCACCTACTTTTGGGGTCCAGGTGGAGCTTTCAGTTTTCGAGCCCCAAACCCTCTTAGCTTTCTGCTTCCGGGCTGTAAGGTTTCAGACTTCAGCGTTCGTGGTGCGATAGTCATCTCCCGAGTCGAACTTTGGTTTAGGGTTTAGGGTTTAGGGCATTTTCCTGGGGCCTTCTGGCGGACGTAGACACCTGGAAACCTGAAAATGCAGCTCTTTTGTCTGTAGTTTCCTTGTATGTAAAATAATATGCTACTAATTCTTTAGGGTTATACTATAATATGTAAAAAAATATACTTAATAATTTCTTAGGGTTATACTGTAATACATATTAAAGATAATTCCTAAGAAGGCTACAGTTGTATGATCCGCTGTCTACTGACACCTGTGACCCCAAAAGGGGCCACTCTGCATTCCGGTTTCGGGCCTGCGGGGTTATCTGGGTTGCTGTTTAGGAACTTAAGTTAAGTTACCATAACGTGTATATCGTAAAAAAAAAAAAGCGGGTTTCCTTCATATAGCAACTTAAATTAAACTCCTTAACAGCAGCCCAGTTATCCATCGTAGATTTTCTTGCTGGCGGGACTTTTGTGTAGGCCATAGAAGTTCAGCAGAGAAGACTAGTGGCTACACGCAGAGAAGTTGCACCCCCGTAGAGGTACCACCCCCCCCCTCCAAAAAAAAAAATGAACAAGCAGGAAGCCTCAATGGTGCTCACTACTGTCTAGTTGAGGAAACATCTGGCCCCAACTGAAGGAAGAGATTTGCCAATTCCACCCTGGAATTAGGGTTTAAGGTTTAGGGTCTGCACGCCTCCATTTTCCACAGAACCACCCGCAAGCGGCCCCTATCTAGAGCTTGTGCATTGGGCCTGGGTGGCTGACCCATATATTGGAGGAGCTTAAACCCTACAATGCCTCCTATACACTGTACACTATAATTAAAAGAACTATAAGGCAGGTTGGCAAAATCATTGTTCCTTTTGCGGTACCGTAGATATTTGGGACCCTATTATCATGGGGACCGAATAGAGACCAGAACTTCCACAGCCTACCACATCCCAATCCGCTTAACCCCCTACGTAATCCTGGGTTCATTTCATGCTCCATGTTCGTTTCAATTTGATTCTCCATATGCCTAAACTTCATCATTATCATCATGTCGCAAAATTGCGTAGAAAGGGACTACACGCTGCCTGACCCCATATACCCGTCGAACGGAACCCAACAATTTCTAGTGCATAATCTAAAGAACCGCCCCCCCAAAGATCCCTGCAACCCCTACTGACCCCTTAATGGTAGTTTCCATTCTGTTTTCCATTTCCCCTATATATCCCCAAGATAATCCTAAATCAAAAGCGCTAAATCCCTAAACCCTAAAATCTACATGTGGGTGGTTGTCAAAATTATGGTCCCTTTTTGGATCCCTATTATAATACGGCACCTAATATTTAGGGTACCCAAAAAGAGGCCATAAATTTTGACAATCGCCCATGTGGTTGTTTTGGGGATGGCCATGCCCACGCTGAGCTTCGGACGACTTCAACACCAGGCCTCAGTGATTTCTGTGAGGCTTCTGGTGCCATGCTGGTCTCATGTAGAGTTATATAGGGATATGTACGGATATATCGGGTCATATAGGGTTATATAGGGATATGTAAGGATAATATGTAAGGTTATATAGGGATTCTGGGAAAGAGAATGGAAACTACTAGCCCTAATTGGGATCAGGGCTTAGGTTTGCAGCGTTCAGGGTGGCCTTTTGGCAAAATTTCAGAACCTGAAACTCAGACAGTGTGCAACTCTGCTCTATATGAACCACCATTTGAACCATAGTCTAAACTCCTAGTATGCCCCTTGATAACCCCTATAATAGTCGCCTATAGAATCCTCTATATAACCAACCCCCTTGTAGGGGTTTAGACTATGGCTCACTTAAGGTGAGGTCGGGCGAGGTCCTCGTACTTTGCCGAACTGGGGGGCCGAGGTAGAAAAACAAACTTATCCCCACCAGCCATGGATGGAGTACACCCTAAACCCAGGGTACTTTAGAATAATTTCAAGTCCCAGTGTAAGGGCATTTTGGCACTATTCCCCTGTATAAACCAACATTTAGGGTAAGGTGAAGTGAGGTCGCTTTAAATTGCCCAGTAAACCCTTTACCCTAAACCGTGTGGGGTTTAAGGTTTCAGCGCCAGGGTGGGGCTCAGGATTCCGCAGTGTCAGATTGTGAAACTCCTGTACCCATGACATCACAACAACTACAGGAGTTCGCAGCCAAAGCCTGGCCTTCTCTGTAAAGGGGTATACTATAGGATTTGGGGCTTAGGGTTTAGGGCGCAGGCAGAATTTTGGGTAAAGGTTGTTAGAGGCTTGGTTCAGGCTGCATCTTGCATTTGGGTTGTAATCGCACACACTGCTGAGTTCCTGGCTCAATGGAGATGGAGGTGATCTGCTTCACCACCTCACACATGGTGAGAGCTTCGTTGATCTGATCCAGTAAATCATGCCGACTACCCAAAGGCACTATCTGAACGCCTTGTTACCCAAATGGCTAGCTGCCACGCCGAAGATGTGGTGTATGCGGACTTCACAGGAACAGGAATGCTAGCATGAGCCACTGAGCTCAAGGGAAGGCAACTGTAACACCTTGAAGTGCACATCTTGGCATGAAGGGTTCCAGCTCAAAAAGGCTAACTTTCCCTTGAGCAGGGTTTCCTAAACCCTAAACCCTAAACCCTAAGGCCCCCCAGCCACGCTCTAAACGCTACTCTAATCCCAAAACTGGGCTCTAAACCACATACACTCAAAGACCGCAAGCCGCGTCAAGCTACAGGCCACATTCGTACAGGTCTTACTTTCAGATCAACTATACTGTGTATACACGGAGTGGGGGCAGGCAATGGATACCGCTGCTAGTGGGGTGGAGCCCTCTGCAGGTGGCGGGTAAAACTGCAATTCTAAAGCTCAATCTGACCCGCAATCTACACACTACACCAACCCTGACACCCCTGCAAGGCCGCGTGAACAACAGGCAATGCCCTATGATACCTGCATAGGCATGTATAGATACATGGAAGTTTCCATCAACAGGGAAACCCAGGACAGGCCCCTTAAGACTCTATAAAGGGAGCCCAAACTGCCGGTAACTCCCCATATGAGCAGATACATGCAACTAGGTTCATTGCTGATGTGATGCTCCTAAACCCTACACCCTAATGTTTCTAGGGGGGTAGGCAACCTAGGGCCGCTGATACCAAATTAGGTGTACATTTAAGGATAACATCCGCAAAATAGTGGAGAATCAAATGGAGAAGAAGCTGGGACAGAGGCGGGTTTTCCAAAAATCGGCGTAGCATTTTGGGGGTCCCATAATGAGAATCATAGGGTTTCGAATGTCTATTGAGATCCCCATATTGAGTAGAGAATGAAGGAAGGAGATATAGGAACTATTTTGACGAGGTGAAATAGGAGCACAACCGGGATCCAGTCCTCCAACCCCTACTAAGCCCGAGTAGGTCTCTCTTCTCAGCACCCCGCGTCCGAGGGCGAGTGCAGGTCAATGAGACGCTTGTGGATTCGCATCTCCCAGCGGTCGAAGGTGTTGGTGCCTGGAGGGAAGGAGTGTTCAAGCAGTTGTAAGTCCCAGAAGGTTTTGGTTTAGGTTTCAAGGCTTAGGGTTCAAGACTCGAGCTTGGCGGCCTGGAAGCATTCAAGACAGCATGCAGATTCCTTCTGCTGCAAGCGTGCGGAGAATTGACTGCTTTCCAGGAAGCTGCTTGAGCATAAACATAGACTGCATTCTGACACGCTCCTCTCCCTCGTCCTGATGTGGTAGGTTACATAAACAAGAAGGGTGAAATGTGAACCCGATATATACGATCGACAATAGTCACCGATAGTCCTCATTCTGCTTCTAGGGACATGATGAGCCCGGCATTCTTGGAAACCCTTGCACTATAACTTATTGGTTGCTAGGGAAAAAGGGAATATAATCAATATATAATACATTCCCATACACTTTCGCCAAGCCCTTAACTCTAAACCCTATATATAACCCCCTTTAAGGAGTTTAGACCCCTAAACCCTAAAACGCTCAACGCAAGGCTAGGAGCAGCTAGGACTTAATTGAAGAGACGTGACATGTAATAGGTCAACTTACTGGAGTTTGTAGGGAAAAAGGGAGCATATTGTGTAGGGAATGTAGGGATTATATTCCCTTCTGCCTTACTAACAACCAGTACGTCAATGATGAGAAAATGTCCGCCTTGCATCACCAAGCCCTTGTTCAATCAGCTGTCAACGGCCTTCACCGCACGGAGACTTGCGCACCATGAGCCGGAGGATCTTCGTAGGCAGGCCTGGGAGACTTGATTGGATAGGGTCCTACGGCCTAAACATGGGGACTCTTGTAGTGCCAACATCCCGGCTGATGTAGTCCTTGATTTCACACCATCAGCGAACCTGGAAACCCCGTGCTCAGAACTTTGAAGACCTTCGACTTTGAGCCCAACTTCCCCCGAATCGAACCCGAAGCCGAACATCCCCATCCCAAGCTCTCAACCTTCAGCCCTTCCTGAGTACAAAGTCATAAGTTACAAACACACACACACACACACACGCGCGCGCACACACACACACACACACACGCGCACACACACACACACCCACATCTGCATCAACTGCCGTGGATGGAGCACTGCCTCTTAGCCAACAGGGAGAGTGTCTACGCTCCGCCACAACTGTGTACGATAAGGCCCGGCAGGCAACAAAGGAACTGCTACATGTCAGGTGGTGGTCGCACTGAAGTCCGGCTATCTGAAGCAAAGAAACTCGCTTACTTCGGCTTCCAGAGAAAGGTTTAGAGTTGAAGACGTCGAAGCCAACGTTTCTCAGCATCGGGCTCCCCTAATATTAACCATAATCTCAACTCCTAATATCCCCCAAGTGACCGGTATAGTAATCCTCCATATAATTCCTGTGTAACCCCCCTTTAAGACGTTTAGACTACAGCTCATATACTTGGGCCCTACACAGGAGCCAGAAACTTAGAAACCTAGAGGGGACTTCAGCGAACTCAGAACGCCGAAAAACACAGGGACGGCTTCCGAAACGCATAGACTATTGGCCCCAGAGCACTGCAGGAGCTAAGCCGTAACCGGTGATTAAACCAACCCTGAAACCTAAAAGCCCCACCCTCAGCCCACAACCATAAACCCTTGCTTGAACTTGCTGAGAATGAAACGGACGGGTCCGGCAACTTTCAACTCCTCAGCCGCGAGGGAAAAAGGCTTGTGTGCTACGTGTTTAGAATAAGCGAGATTCACAGGAGCAATCAAATAGAACATGATATAGACCTGGGGTAAAAGGGATACGGAGTTTTTTGACTTGGGACCTGGGAATGAAGTCGATATTGCACTGTCAATCGTCAATCAGAAAGGCGTCAATCAGTGAGTACAGGGAAAATGCGGAGCTGAGAATACAAGGCGGTTCGTGGCCGGCTTAGGTTTAGGATTTAGGAGTTATGAATACCAGTACACCACTGATAGCTGGCTAGTTCTGACCTGACAGGGGGTATGTCTAGCCCTACGCGCAATTGCACCTCCAAAAGCTCCAAGCAAAAACTTGAAGCTAAGCTTCCCACTAAAATGGAGCTCCCCAAGGCCTATTAAGGGTGCTGTCCACCTAGTTGAGGGAAGCTGTAACCCCAAACTCGGAGACCTGAAGGTTTGGCGAAGGGTATAAAGACTACTGTCATATTGACAAGGGGGCTTTCTGAGGCATTGAAGGTTTAGGGCCAGGGCCAGGGTTTATTTACGGCTTAACCTTCCTGAACCTAAAAGTGTGTAGTTACCAGAATCAGGCATACAGGGCATGTTATGAGCTATAGTCTAACCTCCCTGAATAACCCCTACACTACTCCTCTATATAATCCCGGATCTAATCCCCTTTGAAAAGTTTAGACTGTAGCTTAATTGGTTTCCTCGTACCTGCCACTTTTTTTTACCTACTGTTAGGGTTGAGGACAGGGGTTTCCTGGGATCACCAGTGTAGCGGTGGGGCTTTATAGGCCTTATTCGGTTTAGGGTTTAGGGCTTGGATCTTGTACATTTATGAACGTCGGAATCTTGTAAGGTTTTGGGGTTTAAGCTGCTCCTGGCTACATAGTAAGATGCAAATGCGTGGGATTGTTATTCCAATACGGTCCAAACAATGACTTTGGAGTTCACATGAGCCATAGTCTAAACTCCTAGTATCCCTCTTAAAACCCTATAAAACTCCCCCATATAACCCCCCCACTTAAAGGAGTTTAGACTACAGCTCGCATCCAGCCGATCTAGCCCTTGAAGCCCGAGCCAACAATCAATGATTTATTGCTATATGGCAAAAAAAGACAAAATACTCTCAACAGTGCTTTTCTCAAATTCACTGCTTCTGGAGTTCTTCAATAAATAGGGTTCAGGGTTTAAGGCGGTGGATCATGCTTCCCGGAAATCAAACAACACTGTGCCATGAATCTTGACAAGCATGGTCTACCCAATACCCTGTGCGTTGCCTTTTGACCCAACTTACTCTAAACTACGCATCAACCCCCAGTACTCACCCAAAACCCTGCAAGCCTTAACCCCTAACCTTTAACCAAGCCCTAAATCCTAAGCCCTAACCCCTAAATCCTAAACACTAAAACCCCTAAATCCTGAACCCCACTATCCCTAAATCCTACGCCTAAAATCCTAAATGGTAGTTTCCCTAAATAGGGGGACCCGAATATAGATCCCGAAATACTATAATCCTTATAATGGGGACCCCCAAATAGGCACCCCTGACTTTAGGAAACTCCCAAATCCGAAGCCCAGCAGAGCTTGAGTCCCCGCCTTCGCCTTAGCACCAGTCACCAGGTCGGTGCAGACCTTCTCGAGGGCTCGGACCTGCTGAGAACACAGGGATTGGGGGTTTAGGGTTTAGGGTTCAATGTTTGGGGTTTTGGGGTTTAGGGTCTAATGTTTAGGGTTTAGGGTTTAATGTGTAGGGTTTAGTTTCCAGGGTTTGGGGTTTAATCTTTAGAGTGTAGGGCTTAGGGCTGAGGGGCTCGGGTTTGGGTGGGTTCCTGTATAGAAGCTCAGTTTCCATGTAATTTTCTACTTTCGTTGGTTTGACGGACCATTGTTGGTACCCTAAACTCCTTTACCTGGACTCAGAAGTAGGTAAAACAATAGCTCAGCGCCATTTAAAGTTGTCTGAAAGTTATCAGTCTATGTACTTTTGGGCTCAAGCATTCGACAGGGTTTAGGCTTGAGAGATTCAAGCTTTAGACGGTATTCTTAAACTTTAGAGCTTGGGTTGAAGGTGTACCCAGGAGCTTTTATGTACTTCCTATTGGGGTAGTATATTGAAGTCCATTACCCCAGAAACCCTAAACCCTAAACAAGGAAGTGCATAGGAGCCCTTAGGTAGGGCTTACGGACCAAGAATGCAGGTGCAGGGAGCAAAGCAAGGTGAGCAGCACCACGAAGGAGTTCAGCTTTAGGGTCTAGGGTTTAGGGTTTTGAGTATACAGAAAGGCTAAGTCAAACATGCAGGTCAATTTCAATGTCAGTGGACTCCGCGCCGCGAGAAGCAAAGGCCAACAGCAAGTTGCACGGAATGAGTATGCAAGCTTTTTTACTGGTTGTTAGTAGGGAATAAGGGAATGCAGTCCTTATATAAACTCTATATAACATATTCCCTGCTGTAAATCTTGGAGCCTCGAGACCCGCAACTGGGCCTGCATCTCTGCACATGATGGCATATGATCTATTTTTTAAACTCTGGTGATATAGGAGATTATACCGGGGAGTACTACAGGGGTTGAAAAGGGGAATACTAGAAGTTTAGACTATAGCGCATATGAGCAATAGATACTGTTGCATCTGAACGCTGCGACTGGGAAACCCAAACGACCCTCATGTTCATGTGAGCTACAGCCAAAACACCCTTAACAAGCCCTGTAGTAGTCCCCTATATAACCCCCTTTTTAGGGAGTTTTCATGTCAAAGCTGATATGCTCATCTTTCCGATTGACCAGCAGGTTTTCCGTGTCGGTTGGGGTATAAGGGGTGTTACCTTCTGCGCGCAGCTTCGACCCCAACACCATGTAGCCTGGTGTCCTGTGGTACGCGTGCATACGAGTTCGTACAGTAGTCCCCCAAGAACAAAAGCACCCATTAGAACACAAATTTAGGCAATCTTCACATGCAGATCTGAGAAATTCTCCCCCAACAGCTGCGATGGCGTCCCATGATCTAGTGCAACTCTGTTGCACCTCGAGGTTAATTCTACCTCTTATGCTTGGAGGTTTGTGCATGCAGAATCCCAACTCCAATGACGGCCATCCGACAAATGGGTGGGGCATAGGCCTAGACTTTACGTAGAGGTTTCTTGAAATAGGCCGTTCCTTTATGGTAGTTTCCCTAAATAAGGGAACTCCAATATAGACCCCAATAT